GTTTTAGAAAGAGGGATATATTCTCCAGATGTTTTATTTCAGCACGTTTTGCGTTATTGTAGGCCGTTTAATTACAAACGACGCTTGATTTGTAACTTGAAAATTTTTTTGTTAAAAAAATTGACTTTACTGGTGCTTTTCATAGCTTAAGCTGGTGCTTTTTAAAATTTCTTCATATTTTATCATTTTATGACTATTCAGCTTTAATACAAGACCAACTATGAGGAAATTAAGCCAAATGCTGATTCTCAGTGACCAAAAAACTAACTAAAGTCAAAGTAGTCAATCCGCCATATTTGGACGCCATTTTGGGGCAGTGCGTTCACTTTTTTTTGTAGGAAAATTGGCTTTTTTAAAATAAATAGTTACAAGGAATACAACGATATGCAATTTATAGGGATGTGGGGGAGGGGGTGCACGTTAAGGGGGTCTGGCCCACCATGTAATTATTACATTAAAAATATGCGCGACCATGTCACGAAACTTTATATGGATATTCGGTTGCCGCTACACAGAAATAAATCAAGACATTTATTGCTTGGAGTAGGATAGATAGCCTGAAAGTTTCGCCCAACCTCATTTTTTTTTTCTTTTTGTTCTCCCCTTCCTTGCCTTTTAGGCTACACGGGTAAAAGTCCCACCAGACACCAATAGTTGAACTCGTAATTATTTTTCCATTTCTAATTTCGTTGATCAGGATGACGAGCAACGTCACCCAACCTCACTTATCAAAGAACCGTGGTGGAGGCATTCTATAGTTTATAACCAGTTGATACTTCGGGACCGAATTCGGTAATGTCCTTTCCACTGGCATCGAACATTCTGGACCAAGGACAGCTACAGATTGGTCTATATATATTTATTTATATACACACCCACTGTACCAGTATTAGGTGTTAAAAATAGCACTAAAACTCCCACAGGTAAAAAAAATCTAAAAAATTTAAAAACAACAATGTTTTCGAGTTTTTGAATTTTCAGATAATTTGAAAATCTACATCTTCTTATTCTTGATTGTTATATTATTTATTAATGTAATAATAATTAATAGTTGCCGCCTCAACAAGCATGTTCCATCTCTGCCTATGTTGGTCTATTTCTAGTTATACGCATGTATCTCTATTCAATCTATCTATCTGCTTTTTACTTTCACTTACATATATATGTAATAAAAAGCTGTACCACTACAACCCATGGAGGGTCTTCCAAGCACTGTTTTAAGGCCATGTTGTAGAGAGGTGATTGAGCCGAGATCACATTCATGTCTTGCTTTACCCCATAATTAATTATTTAATTAATAGCCTCTTTATAGAGGCTTGGTTTGACCTAAGGATGGTGTTCTAATCCCTGGGTCTATCCATGACTGATGTAACAGAATAAATAATTATCTGCTACAACCGGACCCGAAACTGAGATCTTGAGCTAAGGAGCCCAGTGCCTTACTTATTGAGTTACACCGTTCTCTATTACAGTATAATCAGATGATTTTGTCATACTTCATTAGAGGGTAAGATCGGACGAAAATTGGAGTTGGAATATAATTTTTTAAATAATTCTTTAGATAAAAATTACCCAAATACTGAAAACAATTTATTGAACTTGAGGTGTCGATAAGAAATTGTCATTTTCCGTCCGATCTGATTGTCAGGTTTTCTTAAACATTACGTGACCTACGTTTTTGCCAGGTTCCGGATTAGTCGATGGTAATTCGTCGTTTATATTCTGTTGAAGCTCTGGAGTATCTTGTAGAATTTGGGATGAAGGTTGATCAAACAGTTTACGAAATCGGATTGCGATATTTTTTCTTCTTATTGTATTCATGCTCGGGACAAATGAATTTAAGATGATACAATAAATTGCATTAAAAATTTTTATTGAAAAGTCAGGGTACTAAAAAACATATTATTTTTAATATTTTGGCAAGTTATATTAAAACTTTAGTATTATAAACACCTCGACTCCACAATAAGCTTAATGAATGACCAACGGGCAGAATAGACTAACGTATACGCGTAGTTATAACTGGAGCAAACAGAGCTTTCTTCTCCCTTTCAAAGGTATTAAAATTCCACAAATCTCAAGAAATATCAAATTGAGGGTGTACCATGCTATGATAAAGCCAGTTCTGATATATGGCTGTGAGATCTGGACATTAACCATCATCCTAGAAAAAGTGTTGAAAAATTTGAGAGACAAATCCACTGCACGATAACCGGAGCGATCTGGGATCAGAGTACTAACACATGGAGAAGAAAGACCAACAAAGAACTGCTTACAGAAACTGGTCAGTCAATATCCCATGATATGAAGATAAGGAGGTTAAGATGGGCGTAGCAATGTTGCTCGTAGCAATCAATCAGGAAGCCTCAACGTAACAACGAATCAACAAAGATGAAATATTGCTGTATGCAGATAAATGGAAAGAAATAGTCCAAGACAGGCATAGATGGAACAGGCTTGTTAAGGCGGCAAAAGATCAACATTGTCTTTCAACTTTCTCAACTAATTCCAACTTTCTTAATTAGTATTATAAAACTCTAAAATAATTTATTATGCAATCCCTTAAATATATCTCATTATTAACCGAATATACAGATCAATCTTTAATTAATCCTTATTTAATGTGTTTTATGTAGTATGTATTTAGTTATGTCCTTAAATAGTAACATACCATTTGAATAATATTTTATAAATCTATATTATTTATTGCATTCTATGTTATGCTCAATTTTGTATAACTCGTTTGAAAAGTAATCTTTAAAGTAAGGCAATGCTAAAGTTAATATATCATACTGAATATTATATATAATTAATTTTCGGATGTAAATATTGTATATAGGTGTGAATGTGTTTTATTTATTTTATTAGCATTCGGCTTTAATCGGTTATTTTACTTATCTTGTATATTACTTTATGTTTATATATATATATATATATATATCTTTTTCTTTCTTTCTCCTCTATCTTGGCTATTATTATTTATTTTCCTTTCTTATGTACATATTGTGTGAATGAATACTGTTGTCCTAGTACCAACGTCCTTCAGTGTGGCAGACTGTATTAATAATAAAAAAAAATTTCGGAATTAATCAGACTTTATTTGACAAACAGTACATTTTTGTACTTTAAAACGTAAAGCCCATTAGGTCCGAAGATTGCCGAAATCTTTAAAACGCAAATTTTCCGATCTCGATCCATTAATTTACCAACGTCGAAGTTTTGAAACCTCCGAGATTTTTCAATGCCTTTTATTATTTTTTTGTAAGAATTTAAGGATCTAAATTCAGGATGCTAAATTCTTTAAGAAATTACATTCCCTTTCCTAACTTATTTATAAAAATTCATTGCTCTTGAGAGCAGAAAAAATGGATCTATAATATCGAATAATATATAGTGTAGATAATATATATTGACAAAATACACGTAAAAATTGAAATACACTAACTTCTATAACAAAAAATTAAAATTTACCTAGGACAAAAGAAAGATAAATTTTCAAACAACTCCTATTTCACCATCTACTTCATAATCAATCACGTAAGAATTTTTAGATTTTGTAATTACAATTGTTTAATAGTTAATTTACAGGTACCATTTTTTTTTTTGTATATCTGTTTTATTTCTACATCCCAGACTCATATTTCTTATACTTTATCATTATTATTAGGGAACTTCTTACAGTAACAGGATAAAATTATTTTTCATTCATTCATTTATTCCTAATTCTGTGTATGTGGTTGGGAATAAATAGTAGGCATATCTCATTTCAATATGGAAATGAAAAATACTTAATTTTTTATTGTTCACTAAAGAAATAAAATCCCATCAAATTATCTTTACCCTTCGTCGTAAACCTATGAATTCCTGTCTTACAGTATATTTTAATAATACCCCCTTTATCCCTAATACCTAAGACTACATCTGGACAAGCATCTAACTTAACTTGCAATCTTCATACCAGACTGAAGCGACAAGAAACCACTCGACGTTTTGGGCTACAACACCACTTACTAGACAAACGCTCCAGGCTTTCAATTAATTACAAAATACTCATATACATAACTATAATAAGACCTATTTGGATTTAACGGAGTTGAGCTTTGGGAGTCCACTAAATCATCGAATTCCTCTTTTATCCAATCCTTACAATCCAAAGTCCTTCGTAAAATCCTTAACGCTCCTTACTTTGTAACAAATAAAATAATCTATAAAGACCTGAATGTTTTATATGTGTCCGATTGGGCCCAATCCAGATACCTATATTTCCATAATAAACTTCAGAACCATCCTAATCCTCTCGTTTTTATCCTTGCTTCCTCTTTGATCCCTGATAACCCTCAAAGGCATCTGAAAAGACGATGGCCTCGTCATCTCTTAATTTAGATACTTTATTATAGTGCTACCAATGGGTAGATTTTCTACAAGCCTTGTCATGCCATGTATTTTTCTGCATATTTACTTAATGTATATTAAATTTGTACACAGTTGTTTAATTTCATAAATAATAATAATAAAAAAAAGTTCTTATACAATAAATTATAGTTCCGTTTCGTCAAAGGAAAAGAGAGAAATAAATAAATGATTTTTCGTAATCAACTTGTGATATATCTGAAACTAAGACTTAAAGACTGTTTTAGCTTTATTAAAACAGTTTTATGAAAAATATTTCTAAGCTTGAGATAAGTGAACTCTTTTGATGTACATTAAAGGCTAAAACTACACCGAGTTTAAAAATGAATGAAAGAATTGTGCCGGGATATTTCTAGATGAGAATGAAAAAAATAAATTATTAACAAAACTCTAATCTACTAATTACCGAAACAAATTAACATAACACTTTCTACATTATAAATGAACAAGGCAGAACTTTATGGATCACAGATCACTGCACTCATGTTATGTAGTTCGTACGGTAGTTGCGTTACGGAGGAAGCCGTGTACACGTAACTGGGTGGGGATCATATATAAGGATCTTCAACACATCCAGTGGGCAAGTAATCATGTGGTTCTCAAGTGTAGTAGTCATCAGCCTCCTGGGCTTAGCAGCGGCCTCTCACGAGTGGGAGGAGAAGCCCAAGGAACATCATCACGAGCACTTCGAGCACGTCAAGAGCATCGTAGTCACCAAGAAGGTACCCAAGCCGTACCCGGTCGAGGTGGAGAAGCACGTGCCTTACGAAGTCAAAGTACCCGTCGACAAGCCCTACCCCGTCTACGTGCCCAAGCCGTACCCAGTGTACGTCGAGAAGAAAGTGCCTTATGAAGTGAAAGTTCCAGTTCCTAAGCCATACATCGTAGAGAAGAAAGTCCCCTATGAAGTCAAAGTCCCAATCGATAAGCCATACCCAGTAGAAGTGCCAAAACCTTACAATGTCTATGTAGAGAAGAAAGTACCTTACTATGTTGAGAAGCGTGTGCCATACACAGTCAAGATTCCCGTTGAGAAGAAGTACCCAGTCCATTATCCAGTCGAGAAGAAGATACCTTATCCAGTCTACAAGGAAGTGAAGGTACCAGTAAAGGTACCAGTTGATAAGCCAGTACCTTACACTGTTGAAAAGCCGGTACCTTACACCGTTGAGAAGAAAGTACCTTACCCAGTGTACAAAGAAGTGCCCTACCCAGTCAAAGTACCCTACAAAGTGGAAGTTAAAGTTCCTTACAAGGTAGAGATCCCAAAGCATGAAGAACACCATGGAGGCTTCCAGAATGAAGGATTCTCAGGTCATCTTTCCGCTGGCTTCCAGGAGGACTGGAAACCCATCCAAGGACACTCGGGAGCATCCGGTCTGGGCGATTACGGAAGTAGCCAATGGTCATCCGGATATGGAAGCGGTGGTTATTCTTCAGGAAATGATCACTTCAGTGGCTCTTCCTTGGTGGGCTATAGCTCGGAAGGCAAACACTTCTAAGGAAGTCACTATTGAAGATCAAGAGTGATGGTGTGTGGACTTAACATTAATAATGTTATTTTCTAAGCTGTCCTTTTGTTCCATACGGGTATTTTATGGAGTATGCATGTATTCGCTCAATAGCCTATCCTTTGTATAAAACTGTAAAGATGTATATTTATTTTTATAAATAAAGATTTTGATACGAAAAAATGTGTCTTAAAATCTCATCACCTTTTTGATTTTATTTCAGTAAAAATGTTATCTTTCTAATTAACTGAAATATAACATTACAAGGTGTCACATTCAAGTGCAAGAAGATGTACTAAGATACTTCATACTATATATATATATTGTAAAGAAAAAATAATTAAGAAGACAGAATATAAAAAATGGAAATACAAATAAAAACACTATAAATACATAATTGTATATATATATATATATATATATATATATATATATATAAAAAAATATTTTATATCATATTATATATATTGAGGAAGCAAAATATTTTAAAATCGCGATATCTCTACTATTAGTGCTTCGATTTCGCTGAAACTTTCTTCATTTTTTAGGAAATTTTAATACCTTTGAAACATCGCAATATTGACATAAATGTGTATACTTCTTGAGTTATTCGGAATTTAATTTCACCATCCCTCGTAACTTTTTTTGAGCTTCTTTTCGTTGAAGTATGTAGTATAGATAAATTTAGAGGGCGTAGAGAAAATGACTTTAGCGAAGTTTCATCAAAATCGGTACATTCGTTTAGGCGCTACAGTGTATAGCAATGCAGTTTTTTCGGCCGCCATTTTGAAACTAGAAGGCGAATAGTAATGTCGTTGAAGGAGGATGATCCTCGGGTGACCTCTGATTTTATATCCAAATTCAAAAAAAATCGGTCTAGTAGTTTCAGAAAAAATGCGCGGACGGCGAAATAGTAGTGCACATATAAGAGAAAGTGTTGGACACAATTCAATGAAATTGACACTACATTATTTTTTCAACAAAGTCTACCTTTTATCTAACTTTGAGCCAAATCGAACGAGTCCTTTCTGAAATATTGGCATATCTAAAAATATACGTTTGCGCGTGCGTAAGCGGAAGTGCTGGATGGAATTTGATAAAATTGATATGGGACCATCTAGGCACCAATCAGCATAATCCCTGAAAATTTCATGAAGATTGGATGAACGGTACTAGGTGATATGCCCGTCACATCGATTTGACTACAGACAGACATATATATATATATATATATATATATATATATATATATATATATATATATATATATATATAACAGGTTTATTGCTAAAAGTCATTAAACAATATTTCATAATCTTAAATCATTTAATTTATTCATACATTTGAACATTTTACAGTATATTGACTATTTTTTGTAAGTAAAAAATTAGTTCGAAAATTATAAAAACCTACTGAAAAGTATCAAAAACGTACTTGTATTTAAGATATATAATACAATAGAAATAATACGGTAAAATAAATATACAAAATTATTTATATAAAAAAAAAGAGTGATTAACAGTATCTGTCTTAAGATTGGGTTGAGACATTTCAAACAAACTGAAAACTTAAATAAAAAACAACGTCCACTTTTTTGTTTGTTCTTTTTTGGCTTTAAGACTTGTAAAAACAAGTCCTGTTTTGCCAGTAAAATATTTTAATTGTCATAATTACACTGAATTTATATTAATTATTTATAGTTAGATGATCACTGAAAGTAACTTATATTATAATATATTATGGCAACTAGAAAGACTAATAGTTAAAAACTGAGATGAATTACAATTACAATTAACTGAGAATAAGCGGCGACTTTTATTATATGACTGCTTTTATGTCATTTATGAACTTTATCAAGTCACGTTATCTTTAACAAGGTTCTAGGAAATATTTGTATCTCCAAAGAAACGGACATGGTGGAAGTTGGGAATGTATTTACCGTTAAATGTTATAATTTTGAAAAGAAACGAAAGAAAGCAGAAGAAAATTAAAGAAGATGGAGAAAATTCATTTAAATGGTACCAGGAGCGATTGAATCCAACATCTCTCAAGTAGCACAAACAGTACACAGACGTCTAAAAGCGACACAAACGATTACCCAAATTCTCTTCGATTTCTCTTAAAAAACCGACACCCTATGGAAAGGGCACAAACAAGAAACAAATACACCAGTATAGAGAAGCGACCGATTTAGACATTTGTGTTTCGCATAGTTTGTGAAATGGTTCCAATCGGCTCTTTAGATATTACTTTTACAACTTATAACGATATATAACCAGCTTAAACATCGAAACTAAAAATTTATGTTTTAGCAACCAGCTTGTATGCAGAGTGTCGAAAGTAAATTTCACAGATGTAAATGCAAATTTTAATGCTTCGAAGCCACTCCACTGGCCTTCGGACCAGTGACGCCGTTGAGAGAGTGGCGCAGGGATCTCTTGGAGTCCTTCTTTTCCTTCTTTAGTTGGAGGGAGAAGCCTGGCTTGGAGTTCCCTACATGATTGTGTATATTGAATTTAGGTATGACTGTGTTTTTATGTTTTTAATTTACTTATCTTTAGGTTATTTTATTTTAGTTATTATTTTACTTTTGTTAATTTTATATTTTCTGTATATATGGTGCGAATGTGTTCATATATCACTATAATTATTGTCCACGTGACTATTATTATATTTCTAAATAAAAAAATATTTCGATTGAAAAATATTTAAGATTTTTCTTATCTTCTAAATATATACTTCATATATATTTTGATTCTATCTGTTTTTGTTTTTTCAATATTTCGTTATTTTATAAATATATAAACTAATTTTAAAGAAATCAACTAATTAGTTTTTTTTTTTTTTCAAATCCACAGCCGTAAAAATATAAATAGCTTACATTGTTACCGCTGCATCAGAAGGTAGATGGATAAACCTAGGAGATTAGACATTTAGGAGTTTAAACCTTAAAGCCAGCCATCATCTTGAAACTTTGTCCAATTTGCAGTTGTGCTGTAGTACAAGATCAGGTATGCTTACTTAAGTTCCAGAAGTTGGCAAGTAAGTGGCAATACATGAATAAATTCATGAGTCAGTGAGCCATCAGGCAAGGATTGTATTTACAGGTTTGGATTTACTTAAATCCAAGATTACTGTTCACTTAAAATGTTATTTAAATAAGTTTCTAATTTTATAAACCGGTTCGGGAAGAAATCTTTATAAAAATATATTACAATTAAGTCGTTTATTTTCGAAGTGAACTCCAACTAATTTTTAGGAAACACGAAAAACTATATAGTCCGTGGTACAGACTCCTTTTTATCAACTTATTAACATCCTGCTGAAACTTCGTAAATAACTTCATCTCATAGTAACCGAAAAATATCTTATTTACGACAATTCTCCGGATTGGGGCATTTTCAATCTGGAATTCGGCAAACTTGGTCTATATAATTAGGTACTAATAGCTCGTAAATAACCATCAGGTTTTCACTTGAGTAATAGGATAATTTGAGCGTAAAATCAAGTAAAAAGATGGACTTCAAAATATTGAGCCGTTTGGTTTAACCTACACCACCAAATTGTCAAAATAAGGAGTTCATCAGGCCGAACGTTCTAATATTTTTGTAGGCAACAATTTTTTATCGATTTTGTGATCAAATTATATTACCATACAAGTGCAAAGTAAATAGGAATATACGAGTTCTTAATACCTAATTAAATAGACAAAGTTTGTTGACCTCAAGATTGAAAAAGCTTCAATCCTAATTAAGTTTTCATAATTAAAATATTTGTAGGTTACAATGAGATGTTGATATTTACGAAGTTTTTGCACCACGGACAAAAGGTTTATGGCAAAAAGTTTATTTTAAGTACGTTTGTTTTTCAAGCTAAACTTTTAAAATGTTTTAGCAAATTCCAACCGTATTTATCGATAAAAAAATACGGTATGTACATCAAACTGAAATCAACCTGAAGTATATAAAGAAATGAACAATATTCTGATTTCACAGAGGGAATATTCATTAAAGTGATTTAATATTATAAAATGTTACCTAATTAATTTATTGCTTAGTGTTTATGACCTCATTAAGTGGTTAAAGTTTACCGATCTCCATATTGAAAAAGCCTGATTTCCGAAAATGTTGGTAAATAAAAAAATTCTAAGTTACATTAATGTGAAGCCATTTACGAAGTTTTAGACGGATGGTAATTATTTGATAAAATGAAATCTGTAGGACGGACTATAACAATTCACTCTCTCAAGGAGAATAAGTTCACCCTTTTATCATTATCGTTGCATAAATTTATGTATAGAGAATCCTATATATTATTTGTAAAAGGTATTTTTTGTCGCTACCCCATAACTTCGTTAATTCATCATCAAATTCAATGATTGACCACTCATTTTGAAGATATTCTTCTCCTTCATATGCGAAAAATAGTCCCATCCCCCCCAAATTTCTGGGAAAAAGAAACTGGATTGTGGATAATCGGACAATTATTAACAAAGATACAGTCCATTATTTAGGTATACCTAATAATGTCTTCCTCTTTAAAGATATTACATTTAGGAGTAGAATAGTTTACTACACTTTTTTTCCTGGCTGATATATTAGCTTTATTATTTCTTAAAGACATTTGGTTGTTCTTACATTTTATTTTTTTTTCAATGATTTAGAAAATCCCATGATCGGGGCATTATTTTGTCTTTATTACTTTTATTATCTTTCCAGTCAGTATTTATAAATAGGTCTTAGCAAAACAATTTTTACAAAAATTTTTGTCTATTATGTTTAATAGAATACTGTAATCGACCAAGGAAAAAAATATTAATTCCTTCCTTACATAATAAATAGTAACTACTTATTTAAACATTGTTTTGCTATTTTTCACTAAACAAAATTTTCTACGAATTATTCGCATGGGCCAACTACTTGTTATTAATGCAATGAATTATATTAATTAAAAAATAAAATTAATTGACCAATACCTGAATTATCATTTAT